GCCCCTTTTCTGGGTGACTGGTTCTTCTGGTCATACGGCGAGGCAGCATGGGAGGGGGCAGGGAGGTGCAATTCACTGCCGCCGCCCCCCCCCCCCCCCCTGGCCGCCGGCATCCGGCGGTTACCCGGTCGCTTCGGGGGCGGGCCCTCCTTCCGGCGACTCGGCACACACACATTCAAGTAGATCTCTTCCGAGCCCCTGGAGTAACATGGGCCCGTTTAGCTTAGGGGTAGAGCGTCGCTCTTGTAAAGCGAAGGTCGGGTGTTCGATTCACTCAATGGGCACATATTATTTTTTCCTTTTCGGTCGCCGTCAAATCCATTCGCCCCGGCGCGCGCGCGTGTGCCGCGCGGCAGGGACACAGCACCGGCCTGTGCGTGGGTGTGTGGGTGTGTGTGTGTGCGGTGCGTGCGCCGGGGCGCGGGGGGCCGCCAGCCTGGGCCGGCGCGGTGGGACTGCGCGCGGGTGGTCGCCCGCGCGGCGGCCATGGGAGACGCCCCCGCGCGCCGCGCCGGCGGCGGGGTCAGACCCGGAGGGGGGGCGGCGGCCATCCGTCGGCCTTTTTGACGGGGCCCGGGTATATGGGGCCAACCCTAAAATCCGGCCGGCGCGGTCGCTGGTTGGCGGACTCGGGAGCCCGGCGGATTGGTTGGGCACCCCGGTGTGTGCCCGGGGGCGGCCGCGTGCGCCCTCGACCCTGGGGGAGGCGGGCGGGAGGCCGGCAGGCGGCTGCCGGGGCCCGCATGGCGCGCGCCCGGGGACGCCCTTTTCGCGCCCGTTCCCGGGCCTTCTCCACCTCCGGGGGGCGGGGGCCTCTCCCTTCGAGAAGAGGGATCGGGGGCCTGCGCGGGCGGGGGGCGGTGCGGGCGCGCGCACACGCATGGCTCCGCGTCAGTCCCCCCCCCCCCCCCCGGCCCCGGGCCCGGGGTCAAAGGGGGAAAGGGGGGGGGGGGGGGAATAAAAGGCGCCGGCACGCGGCGATTCGGCCGCCAGCCAGCGTTCTCAACCTCCCTCGCCCCCTCGTTCGCCGG